TCGAGATGCACTCACATTTCGACGGCCAGCGACCGCAAGCCTTACGATCTTGAGAGCCACAGTTTGTGAGCATCAATAACCGATTTACAAAACCCCTTGACAAACAACAAACAAAGAACAGGCTGGGTTCCGAAGTAAATACAGGACAATGACTTTCCTTTAGCATTACCAACCGAAGATACCCACACCGACTGTCCGGGCAACGCTGTTATCGCCTTGGGTTTGTTAACGTAAAGGTTTAATTACCCAGTTTTGAGAGAATGTTTAGGTGCTGAAATATTTTTACTATTTTGAAATATACTGAGATATTTTTACTATTTTTGAAACATTGAACTGGCGTTTAGCACTGGAGCCTCAGCCAAATATATTTTAAGAAAAATTTAAGACAAAAAGCTAAATCAAATCGTAAATCAATTGTTGTTGCATAGTAAGTGGTTCAAACCGAATAAGCTTGTGATGACGATAGTAACGTGTAATTTCCGGTTCGCTACTGTGAAATGCTTCGCCAAAGATAAGCTGACGGTAGGCAGTTGTTGGTACCGTTGTACTACTACTGCTGTTTGTCAGCTGTATCGCTTGCAGCGGTTCTCCTCGATCACTCAAGTAATCCGAGGATAATGCATCACCTGAAACTATCGAAAATTCATAAAACTGCTGTGCACCACGGAGCCGATGAGATAACGAACTTTGGCGGCAAAGTACTGTGGACAAACACAAAAAGATACAAGATTTCGTCGTGATTGTTTTTTATACCAGTCTGCTATGTGAAAAACGTCACACCTCAGATTTAATTTCTATCTCATCTCGGGATTAAATTTTAGCACTGCCCAGTATAAGACAGACTTTTTTGAAACTTTTAACGGACAAAAAAGAGGGCGCTTTCAGCGTTTAGGTGTTCTGTGGAATTTTGTGAATGAAATAGGCCTAATATAGAGAAGAATGGGGAAGTTACCAGTAGCATCAATGACTCGCTCTTCCGAGAATAAACAGTTTGTTGGCGGTTTTGATTCTCTAATACAAATCAGTAGTAATTACGAAAAGGAAAACTCTTCAGGCTACTGACCCTCGTAAAAAGCAAATACGGAGAAGGCTTTGACTTCTGATTCGACGAAAGAAAAGTAGTTATAGTCCGAGGGGAAGAAGCAGTAATATCAGATGAAACTGAGAAAAGCTTGAGCATAAGCCATTACGAAAACGAAAACAAATTTGTGTCGACTTCCAGCACCATAGTAAAAGTTCAGAAAAGTTGGCTTTTAGTACCGCTAATAAGTTAAAAAAATTATGTTGTAACAAATTAGAAATGTGACGAACGGTGTCTGCTGAGAAGCTGGAGGACTGAGTTGTCGTCGAGCGCAACCAGATCCGGTAAAATCAGCTTGCCAATTCGATTCATTCGGGTATCATAGACTGCTGGATGTCGGCGAATATCTGATGCTTTTCCCCCTCGTCGCCGGTGCAGATGATTGCTTTTCCTCTTCGACATCATCATCAAGCGCAGCTCCTCACTGATACCGTCTTCGATAGCTATACAGGTAAGGTTACGGCCCGAGCAGCACAGTGCTGACCGATAGCAACCGCAGTGAACTGGTGGTACCACGATAACCGCCCCTATATACAGTACTGCTATAATCCATCCCAACGAATCAGTAAGCATTCTCTTATTTTATCGCACATGGTGGTAATGATGA